GTAGCAACCCACCCCTTTGTTTAGTTTGCAGACTCTGTGTAGACACACTCAGAGATGGTCCTGCGTCTCTGATCCCTTTTGCAGATAGGGCCTTAGAGGAGTCAAAGCCAAGCGGCAGCTGGGCAGGCAGTCTAGGTTAAGGTTCTGCACATGTGCACTCCTATTTCTGTAGTTCACAGGGCTGTGTCTAAGCACTGGCTTTATCAGCTGCATCTGCAGGGTGACACCCTCCTACTGAGCCTTTGTTGTAACCTGATCTCAGCCCTCAAACCCAGCACAGCGTCATCCAGTGCCAGGCGATTGTCACTTCTTTTATAAAGGAAGTGTTGATTCAACCCAGCCAGGAAGAGCCACCAAAAGTAAAAGGTCTCCAGAGATGGGATTGTGCCATTTAAGTTACTTACATTAGCGCTTGGCCTGGAATATGAGCCAGAGGCACTGTGTACTGGAAAAGAGAAGCTCTTTGATTTATTCATGGCCTTGTACATGGATGCTCACACCTCTTCCTCCTCATCTCACGGTCCTCTCCACTCTTCTCTCACATGTGTTTGTGAAACACATAGCCACATACTTAGTCTGTTTCTAGCCAGTCTAGTTTTATCTTTTGATGGCACATGGAAATATTTTCTCTAATTGTCCTTGAGACACTGCTAGGAAAGTAAAGTCTGTGTCCTTTCTCATTTCCCTGTGATGCTAGAATAAAGATCATCTCCTGGGCTAAAGTGCTGGAACCTGAGTTAAAGGATGTCAGTGTGTGTCCGTACATGGGGGATCACAATGACTGTTAAGGACTCACATTTGGAAAGTATCATGAACAGAAGGTTGTGGAGCAGTCTTTCCAGATCTTCCTCAGATCACACCAACCATGGATACACAAGCTGAGAATGACCTTGAACTCCTAATCCCCCTCTATGGATTAGGAAAGGAAACAGTGTCCAAAGGGAATGGCACTATTCAGAGGCATGGCATCATGGGGAAGGTGTGCCCTTGTTGGAGTAGATGAAGCCTCACTGTGAAGTAGGGCTTTGAGGTATCATATATGCACAAGGCATGCCCAATGAGATAGTTCACTTCCTGTTGCCTGCCAATCAGGATGTAGGACTCTGAGCTCCAGCACCATGTCTGTCTGCATGCTGCCCTGTCCCACCATGATGTTAATGGACTAAACCTCTGAAAATGTAAGCTGCCACCTCAGCTAAATGTTTTCCTTTATTAGAGTTGCTGTAGTCATAGTGTCTCTTCACAGCAAAAGAAACCCTCACTAAGACACCCTGTCTCCACCTCTTCAGTCCTGGTATTACAAGTTTGTACTGTCATATCTAGTGAAATCCAAAGTTTTAAGCATTAAAGCTTTGTGATCCCTTTTGTGGGTGGCAACTTAAACTCTACATTGCAGAAGTTTAGATAATATGGAATTTGTGAAAACACCCATAGTGTCTGATGTCAAAGCATATTACACATTCACATCAATTAGGTTTTAAAATTCTTGTTGAGACCTATGCTGGTTTTCAGTTTATTTATTGAGAGTAATATTTTCCCCACCTTTGCTAGCATATTCATAAGGCAAGAGAATTAACATAGAATATTTGTAACAGTTGTATACTCAAACGATTTATTCTGTGCACTAGTGTTCTCTCCATCCAACATACTTGAAATTCCTTTCCTTGTTTTTATTCCCTTGCAGACTGAACCCCCAAACCCATTTTGTACAGCTCCATCTTGTTCCGTTCTATCTTCATTAGGTTGGGTGACATTCCTTTGTAGACACACATGTTCCTACATCTCTTCTCTGTGTTTCTATCTTCCCTCTTTCCATAGTGAGGCTCCATGTCTGGGGTTCATCATATAAGCAGATAAGTTCATATACCCCATAGTGGGTCTGAAAAAGACATCACAGGTCTCAGTGGGTCCTTGTTACATAGGCCTGAGGACTTGAATTCAACCCCTGGAACACACATAAAGGTGAAGGCGAGAACTGAGGTCACAAAATGTTTTCTGACCTCCACACGTGGATATGCACACCCGTCATACAGCAATGATGAGGATGATAATGAAAGTATATAAAGACATCAGCTATTTAAATCACTTTTTCCCACTTAAAACTGTCAGAGTAAGCCTGAGGATTCCCACAGTTTACTCTGAATATGGTATGACTACATGGAGCCTGCACAGCCAACATTGGTTGCAGAGGAAACTTTGACTTGCTTGTTCTGCTGTCTTCTGACATACACATATGTTTTCATGAGAATCATTATGTGTGCATGAATGTTTTCTCATAGAGACATGTAATACCTCCCCTTTGGCTGAGATGAAGAGTATTGGTTCTGCGAGTCAGTTGTTTAAAAGTCACAAGCCTGGTCTTCAAGCATTTTGTGAATCCAGGGAAATGATGCAGTTGCGGTTTTCTCTGCAATATCTTACACTATCTACTGTGGTCCCACTCTGCTTCCATCACACACAGCCACAGTCTCCTTTGGGGATTTACCCAGGGGAGTCTTACAGGAAGGCTTCTGGTGTAGCATAGTTTTCTGTCCAGCATGAAAAGCCTGGGAACTTTATGTGAAACAGCTAATGGCATGTGGATAGTAGGGAAGGCATTTGCTCCTGTAGGCACCTTGCACAGGGGACTATTTTTCTTATATGATATAAATGAAATCTTCACTCTGCCCACTTTTCCGCCTACACATGTACTGAACGTCTCCAAGGAGACAAGGAAACCCAGAGTCCAGTGATGGTGAATCCTCCTCCAAGACAGCAGGCTGGAGACTCAGGCAACTCTCCCAGGCTTCTTACCTTACAGCTGCCCTTCTCAGACAGCCTCTCCTTCAAGCAGGCAAATGTATCTCTCCTTTCTAGGCAAAAGCACCTGCGCACTTCATATGCAGGGCTCTTTGGGGTGAGTTCAGAAGGTGACCAGCCTGGGAGAAAGTGGTGGCATTATCCACTACTGAAGATAAGCCCTTTGCTGTGTTCCCTGCCACTTTGTGCTTCTGTTTGTTTGTGTTCCTACTCAGTCATAAGAAGTGTCCTATGCATTACAGTATTACCTTAGGAGCTCTGTTCAGTGAGAAGAAAGTCCATCTTTGCACACCCATCTTTTATAGATGAGTGCTCAAGTGCAGGGATCCTTCCACTCTTTCTCATTTCCCCATTTTTATGAGTAGAGCACGTGGGAGCCCTCGCCTTCTGACCCAGCCTGCCCTCAGTGTTATCACTATGTTCTCATACCTGTACACTTCACTATCCCAGTCACCTGGCTGTTCTTCTCCATGGAAGACAGGACTGTGTCAGTCCTTTATGGTCACTTTTCAAGCCCACATTATCAGATCACATTTCTATGTGCCCGTTCCTTGAGGCACAAATAATGTAAGTCGCCACATTAAAATTATATTTGGGGGGACTAAAAAGATGTTTCAGTGGTTAAGAGCACCGCCTGCTGTTTCAGGGAACCCTAAGTTCATTTCCTAGTACCTACCTCTTACATCTCACAGTCTTCTGTGACTCCAGCTCTAAGTGATCTGACCGTCTCTGGTCTCCAGGTGCCTTTTTTTTTTTTTTTTTTTTTTTTTTAAACAAGGCACACATGCATGCGCGCACACACACATTTAATCTTTAGAAATTACTTTATATGACATGTAATAATTTTCCTTTTGGGTAACTACATTATTTTGTGAGCATCCTTTCTGACTCTTCATATATACATTCTGGTTCTCAGTTTGAGTAGATCCAAGCAATCTGACTTTTCATATAATTTGTTTGGTGTAATACCTGTGTACCTCAGTCTCCTATGGCTGATTTTGCTCTCAGTTTCACAAAGGCTTGGCTGGCCTGCTATTAGTTTTATGTTAGTGAATGTCTTCATACTGGCCTTGCCCGTGTTTCTAATACTTCTATTTTCATTTGAACACCAACAACAAAAAGGGCTGCCCAATCATATCTTCAGCCGTTGGAGGTCTCCCCCATCTTTCTTTTGTCTTGTTGCTAATCCACACCTCTTCAGTAACTACTACCTTGAAAGAACACTGTTCCATCTTAAAAACGTGAAAGAGTCATTTAGCCTAACTCATTTGGTTTTTAGGTGAGAAGTTTAAGGTAACCCCAGGTTGACCACCTGTGCTAAACTTTCCGTTTATGTTATCTCTGTCTGTTGGGCTACACAGGGTAGCTCAGGCTGGACTAAACCTCCCTCTGAAGATGACCTTGGACTTCTGAGATATTTGGAGATAATCATAGCTAAAAGTTTTCATGTGGGGAAGGAGACCATCCACGCATAGTCAATGTGCTAGGAACATGGACACATGCACACATATGTAGCTGAGGATGACCTTGAACTTATGACCCTCCTGCTTCTACCTCCTAAGTGCTAGGATTGTAGTGTGTGCTACCATGTCCAGTTCATGTGGTACTAGAAATTGTGTGCACTGGGCAAGCCCTCAGTCAGCTGAGCCATCTTCCAACCCATCCATGTCTTCCAGTAAGATCATTCAAGATACGTTTCCAACTTCTCTAGGCCTTCTGTGGAAATAGTTGTTCCAATTGTGTCTCGCTTTCCTGTGATCCACTGCCCAGTTCTTTATTTGGGTACAAGTGAGGTTAAAATATATAAAACTTGAGTTTCCAAGTTTCCCCAAGAAAAATCCAGTAGTATATGGTGTCTCCAGTAAGAGCCTTTCCTCGTTCCTTATGACCCTACTCTGATATCTGTCCTCATTCTTAACAGGAGTCATGGTAGCTATTTAGTGGGAATGAAGTATATACTTACATAAGATACTGTGTCTAAGGGGTCATGGGTAATTTCACCAAATCAAAGAAAATGTAGACACATTTCTGGGTTGTTTTCTACGTAGACTGGCTAGAAGATTCATTGGCCATTTCCTTCGCCTGGAAATGGGAAAGTGAAGGGCAGCCTTGAAGAGTTTAATCCTGAGATCTTCTTTGTGGGGGAGTCCCCAGACCTGTGTGATAGATAACCAAGCCTTTCCCTTCACTTTTTGTTGCAGGCCCTGCAGGTGGCAAGGCAGCTCCTCCTTCAGCAACAGCAGCAACAGCAGCAGCAGCAGCAACAACAGCAGCAACAGCAGCAGCAGCAGCAGCAACAACAACAAGTTAGTGGATTAAAGTCTCCCAAGAGGAATGACAAGCAACCAGCTCTTCAGGTAGCGATTTTTTTTTCAAAAAATCATTGTCATACCCTTTTTCAAGGCTGAGAAGCTGTACAGAGATGGATTATCAAGACCATTGCAAACTATATGAGGAAATCTTATACAAAATACATGTTTTTAGTTTATGAGCTGAATGTGACATCATAAGAAAAATACCTATTTGAGTTTTGGAGGTTTGTTTTTTGTTTGTTCCTTTGTGGGAAGAACTGTTGTATGCCAAAAGTAATGTTGGGAAGACTTCAACTCATAATTCAACATGCTGGGGGCTCATGCATGTACAAAGCGGCATTTATCAAATCCATCCATCCATCCATCGGACTTCACTATTCCCCCTTTCCTGGCCCAAGTAACCATTTTGCTACCTTCAAGTTTCTAGTTTCCACAACTAGAGAGGGCAGACAGTATTTGCCTCTCTGAGTCTAGCTAGTTTCATTACTGATAAATCCTCCATCTCCAACCATTTTGTTGCAGCCATTTAGAAGCCGTTCTTTGTGGATGAAATGATTCCAATATTGTTAAACCATTTCACTAGTGATAGGCACATAGGCCAATCCCACATCTTAGCTATCAGGAGTGTGTGAATATCTTGTCTATATGCCTATATATTATTTATTTTCTGGTGCTTCGATAAAACACCATGACTAAAGCCACTTCAATGAAGGCAACTTCAGGATGAGTAGGTTTATTTAGGCTTACCATTCCAGAGGGCTAAGTCCATCATGGCTGGAATGCATGGTAGCAGAAAGCTGAGAGCTCACATCTTCAACCCTGAGTATAAAGCAAAGAGAGTTATCTGGAATGGTAAGGCTTTTAATCTCCAGGCTAGACCCCAGGGATAAAATTCCTCCAGCAAGGATGAACCACATAAACTTCCAAAAATAGTGCCACCAAGTGGGACCAAGTATTCAAATGCCTGAGACTGTGGGGGACACTTCACATTAAACAACTACAACCAACTTCATTTCCTTTGGCTTACACCCAGGAGTGGTCTAGCTAAATCATGTGATGGTTCTGGATTTATTTTTTTTGAACCCTTCATCATACTGTTCAGAGTGGCTAGATTCCCTGACTTCCCCATTTAACGAACATTTAAAGTTCCTTATTCTGGAAACATATTTGCTATTCGGAACTAGGGAACAAGGGTGCAGAGTTGTTCCTGGCATCTCATGGGTTTTGGACCAAGGAAGCTGTTCACCATTCCACAGTGTCCAGTGCATCCTCTGGAAAGGAGGGCTGCTTAGCAGCCCCAGATGTCTGCAATGTCAAGAGCTTCTATTTGGCCCCATGAGGATATAGTGCTTCTGATATTATGCCCAGTAATGAGTATAATAGAACACATGCCCTCCTTCGGTAGATGTTTGCTGAATGTGTCTGAATCATTAATTGAAAACGGGGAACAATTTTTATGAAACGATAACAAAAGAAGATTGTTTCAACAACTTCTCATTTCAGGCACATCGAGGCCAAGGGGTTAATAGAGTAGAAAGAGGAGTGAGTTCATAAAATCTAATTTGGATTTGGGTCTTGGCGTAGAAAATTGAGGTAGAAATTTCAAAGAAACTTGAGTCAGGGTATTTATGCCCACATTCAAGGTAGGAGATAGGTGTTAGGTGCCACCCAAATGGAGGCTAAGGATGGGTTTCTCACTGAAAATTTTGTAACCATTTGTGATGAGCAGTGACACCATGTGATATTAGTCAGTATTCGCTCTACATGAATGGACTTCTCCCTGGGTTAGGATAAATTAATGCTAACTTCCAAAGTACCCTGCACAGATTGTCCTGTCCTTGGTATGGTACATCAATTCTAGTTCTCCTTCTGTGTCAGGGAAACTGTCCCTCTTCCAAAAAAGTTCAACCTTATAGCAACAGGTCATTGGGCAAGTTGAACATCTGCGTGAATTGTTTACAAACTCTTCCAAAGACAGCTGTTTGGTAAACTCCCAGGAACTTGTACCCACTTAATGCAGTGCGGGCACAGGCGCGGGCGACAGCTATAATGAGGTGCAGTGCCGTGGGGGGCAATGTCAGGTGTTGTAAGAAGGGCTTTGTTGTGCAGATGTCTTAAGAACAGCTCAGGAGGATGAAATATGACTGTGTTGACCTTTCAGCTGTGAGCTTATTTGTCAGGACTCAAATAAGTTGAAAGGATCAAACTGAACAGTTTCCGTAGTCAGTCTGGGAATTGTGTTTCAGGGGTCAGCAGCGGAGGCCACATTGAAGATTCCATAACATAGCCAATTGTTGGTACATATTAAAGTACCAGGGCATCTCCTGCAGACAGAGACGCAATTAAAATTCTAATTTATTAATGTATACAGGGAGCTGGCCCAGCCTGTCACTCAGTGATTCCAATGCCTGTCCATTCTTTGGCCTCCCTCTTGGAGCCTCTCACAGCCTTGAAAATACTAGGAGTCCTGTTGAATTTATCAGGCCTCAAGTGCATTGGGAAAATGGCAACATAGAATTGGGAAGAGGGGTATCCATAGTGCAGCTTTGGTTTGAAGTTTTTAAACATATACAAAGATATTATCCTAATCATAGTGCTGTAGAGAATTGAATACCATTTATGATGAAAAATCAACTGGATTTGTTTTCCCCTGTGTGTGTTATGCACACCAAGGATTGACAATGAGTGCGTTAGTCCAGTTCCCCCTACCCCCCCCCCTTTTTTTTAAGACACTTCTTAGCCTTTGTTGGCCTGGAACTTGCTATGTAGAGCAGGTTGGCCTCAAACTCAGAGAAATCCACTTGTCTCACAAGTAAAGGATGATATCAACATACCTGGCATTCTGCCTTACTTTTTGAGACACAATCTCTTACTGAATTTGAACACCACCAATTCAATTAGGTGGCATGCCACTGAGCCCCAGGGAAACAACTATCTCTTCTTCCCCAGACTAGGGTTACTTTCACAAATCTCTGTGTCTCATCGTCACATGAGTGCTGTGATCTGAATTCAGCCACTCATGCTGGAAGCCCTTTACCAAGGAGCTGTCTCACCAGCCACAGTGCTTACATTTTTAAAACTTGGCATTTAGGGTGATGAATTGAGGTTCGTTAGGGCTAAAATAGATATGTGAAGTAAAGTTTCAGGGGATTTCCTTCTGAGGGTTCTATTTCTTCTTGACCATTAAGGATTTTATCAACCAAGCCTATGAGTCTGACATGTAGCATGTCATGGATCATGACTAGGACAATGGGACAGCCACTGTGATGGGCTTTGCTCTTCAGTCCTTGCAGAAAAGGAAGGAAGGAGAATGGCTAATGTGAAGGCTGGTCTGCTAGGATCATACTGAGTGTCTTACTAGCCTGTCAGTGCTAGAGCTGACTAGTGGAGAATTTAAACAGATTTTTAAGGATTGTTGTACATGTGTGTATGCATGCATGTGTGCATGTGTGTGCTGTCTTTGTGTCCTGGCCTGTTGCTGAATACAGGGTCACTAGAGTCCAGTAGGAATCTTCATTAGTTTAGCTGGCCTTCTACTAACAGAAAGGAGAAATTACTAAACTTGGTTACATGGTCTATTGCCTTGTTATACAAAGATGTATGTAGACTTGGTGCTTCTCGGAAGAGATAACCTTGACATTGAAATCTATCCCAGCATGCCTTGTCCTGGCTGGGCGTCTCACCTGGCATAGCTCAGAAATAAAAAGGCAGCTCTCTTGCCAATCTGCACAGTATTCCTCTCCCATATCCTTACCCTTTATATCTCTATACTTCGAGACTTGTGTTAGCAGATTTTAGATCTGCACAGAGTTAGGCTTGATGGGGAAGGAGGATTTGATCTGCTGAGGATTTGAGATGTGGGGAGGAAAGGGAAAAGAAGCCTTAAACCCACGGTGATGCTATGGCTCATATTTTAAACATACCTCACACTCCTCCATTCCATGTTTGGGAGCACACTTCAGTTTCATAGGCTGATGAGACAGACAAAAGAAAAGGGAAAGTGAGAGGAGACTAAGTGGTTGCTCAGTAGAGACAGAGATCATGAAGCCAAAGCAGACTTCACCAAAGTGGACTAATTTCACCAGGCAAGAAACACATGTTGCAGATGCCTGCTCAACCACACATAGTGCTCCAGTGCTCAGAACACAGCCTGGTTTGTTAATGAAGAGGGCATGAGTCAGGGATATAGGCCACTTTGGGGGTTCTTGACTGGTATTCGGCCCATCATTCTACATTGTCTTTTTCTTACGCTGTTAATTTGCCTTGTAAATTTCTTTTATGAATGATAGAATCGGAAACTGAAAATTGGCTCCATCATAAATTCACAGTCAGAATGATCTGGGTGCTTAGTGCTAGGTGCTGGGTGCTGGGCAGATGCTCATAGGACCCAAAATTGTTGACAGAGCCCTTGCCTTTAGGATGCTCTGCAGCTATAAATGAATTAATTTGATTTTGCTTAAAAAAATTAGAGGTGGGTAAAAATAGTAAGCTGCCTTTTATAAATATTTATATACTTCTGAAGATTGCTTAAACAAGTGAAAGAAATGCCTACCACTGCAGGTGCATTTATAACCTCCTGGCTAGCAATTTATCTGCAATAAATGAGCAATTTTTAATTGATCAAATTTTGGAATATTGACTGCCGTTTCTGGGTAGTAATTCCTTTTGGTTCTTTAAGCATTTTACTTGTTGGCTGGAACACACCCACTGGGAGGAAGTCAAGTGACACAGTTTCTCCTCAGAAAGTAGAAGTACACTCGGGTTTTGCAGCATGTGACTTGACATAGAAAGCCAGCCTTGTGTATTGCTTCCAGGGAAGCTGACCACTACTCCAGGCTGGCTGTAAAGAATGAACTTGAAGCCAGGCATCTGATCAGTTCCCCATCACTATATTCCTTTCCCTCCAAGGTTATGTGCTATGCAAGCCCCTGGCCCAGGAGGCCTCCCCCACTCCCCACTGCTGGAAAAATCAATAGTGAAACCCACCCGAGGACCAGCCTTTGACTCATGGTCCAGCTTTGAGATTAAAACACAAGATGCAATAG